GTGAAGGGTCAACAGATGACAGGAAGAAGCGGAGGTCAAGGAGAGTAGTGCGCAGTATGTCGTGCGACTCATGAGGCACCTGGCGCAGACCGTAGATGGGACGTCGAAGGCTCCAGTGAGGCATAGGAGGAAAGGATCCAGTGAAGCCAGGTGAGCTGTGGAGGATGATCTGCTTGTGCAGGCGGCCATGGAGAAAGCCAGTGGAGAAGTTAAGATAGTGAAGCTCATAGTCGTGCTGCGTTGCGATGTGTGGCAGTACCCGAAGAGTGGCCATCTTTGGATTGGGGGAGAAGGTATGAAATAAGTCTACCCCCCGTCCCTGACTAAAGTCTCTCAAAATTTAGTCTCTATGACTAAATTCTACCCGTTTTAGCGTAGGTGCGAGGCTTCGGGATGTCAAGAGTGCTTGGGCCACCCTCAGAAGGCTAACGACATGGCGGAGAGGTGAGGAGTAGCGGCGCAAGGAAATCCAGCTCAAATTGCATGTCCTCTAGGTCGTCACTCCTAAGAACAGGAGCACCCCCGACGGGCGGAGGACGAAAAAGGGCAGAGACAAATTGAGTGGTGTAGTGAAGGGGACACGTGGATGCAAATTCAGCATGAAGAGCTGACACAGACTGCATAGGAGTAGTGGGGTTAGTAACAAGAGAGCAAAGGACGCGGGAGACTGTAGGGCGAGCGGCATGGAGGAAGTCAAATAATGGAGGAGAGGAGACAGTAAGGGACACCGGAGGAGGTAGTGGGGGAACAAAGGGAGGCGGAACACGAGGGGGACAAGAACGGAGGAGCATAAAGTGGATACTAGGAAGGGGAGACACAGGGCGATCAGCGGTGCTCGAGGATAAGGCTTGTACTGAAAACCTTCTGGTGTCTGCACCAGATACAGTGGACTCTGTGGTGGGAAGAAGGAGACGAGTCAGGAGACGGGCGTAGATAGCTGTGAACTAGGAGGACGATGAGCCGGGGACAAGACCGGAGGAGGAAACGTGGGACCGTGGACTGAAAGAGACGGTGAGGAGGGAACAGGTGGTCGGTCAGTTGAGGGGTGAAGTCACCGACACAAGAGGCGAACCCCCACATACTGGGCCCGCAGAGTCCGCAGACTTCCCCACAGGCCCAACCGAGGGAAGGGGGTGACGCCCGACACACCAAACGGGGCAGGACACGAGGGCAGGGGAACAAGTGGAGGAGTGGGAGTGAGAAATAGGGGAGGGGAGGGGGAACCGGGTACCTCGGTGACGGAAGCGTGTGTAAAAGAAGACAGACTCGTCAAAGGTGACGTCATGAGAGTGGAGGAAACGGTGAGAGAAGGGGTGGTAGAACAACCAGTGAGGAGCATTGCGAGGAAAACCAAGGAAGATACACAGAAGTGCGCGGGCTGAGCGCTTGTTCGCACTAGTGTCGCGGACGTGAGCAAGGCCCCTGACGCGAACACAGGCGCAACACAAGGGGAACTACTTTAGAGGACGGACGAAACCTGTGGCTCTGAGACATGAGGCCACAGGCTAAGTTGGTGCATGGTGTAGCGGACTGCAAACGGCCATAGAAAATGGAGGGTACTTGCATGGGTCATGGAGGTACGGGCGATCTCTAAGACCAAGCCAATGAGATGCTCAGCTACTCCATTTTGCTGCGGCGAGTCCAGGAGCGTGAACGTCTGGGTGATACCCTCTGCACAGAGTGCAGATGAAGCACGCGCTGGGCGTGGATGGCTACTAACCACGGGAGGAGAGCATCAGGCACGTCGGCCTTCCCTTTCAAGGGAAACACAGTGGTGTAGCGGGAGTAGTCATCCACAATGGCCAGGAAGTAGTGCTCCCGGCGCACCCCAGGAACAGGGGCAGGCCCCAAACGTCCATGTGCAAGGCCTGAAGAGGCGCAGTGGTAGTAGGAAACAAGCAGGAGTGAGGGCGGGAGTGCACTTGACGCATGCACTTGACGCAAGGAGTGCACGGCGGCGTAGGTGAGGGAGGGAGAGTGGGGACCGACGACAAGAGACCTGAGACAAGACCATGCTGAGCAACGTGACGGAGACACGGGAGGGCGGGATGCCTAGATATTGGTGCCACAGGAGCGATGGGAGAGTGAGCAACCGACACGAGCACGGCGCAAATACCTGATCAGACGCAAGAACATGGGTGGACATAGTGTGCAGTGTGAAAATACTTAACGCAGGGTTCCGGGGGAATATGGCAAGAGGTGCCCAGGTGGTAGCGCCCGTAAAGGTCGTGAACCGCTCGTGTCCAGGAAACGTGGTGGTGAACACCGAGGTCTTGAAGACGACTAACACCCACCAAGTTCCTTGAGAACGATGGGATGTGCAGGCCTGTGAGGGAGCCTGAGGGGACTACCATACACTGGAGTGAAGTAGCGCTATGCGCGACGACTGGTCCAGAGGTGAGGTCGGCCAGGGAGACTGCAACAGGAGCCGGAAGTGGCGAGAGGGTGGTGTGGTCACGAAAGAAGCAATGGGACGCGCCAGAGTCGAGCGTGAAGGAGAGGGAGGCATCGGCAGTCGTCACACCTACTCTAGACACACACGAATAATAAGATATAGCAACACTATACTCATCAGCATACATGGCAGAGCCTACCTGAGAAGTAAAAAACAGGCAAACCATGACGCAACAGCAGACCATGAGAAGTCGGGATTTTTGTCTTGATTTCACTGATTTTCATGGTGTTTTTGTGTACCGGTGCTGATTTTTCAACGTTTTCATTTTGTGAACCCGGAATTTTCAGTGTTTTGGCTTAGGTAACACTGATTTTTCAGAGTTTTGGTTAAGCCGACCCTGAAGTTTCACGAACATGTCATCCTTTCCTCTTTCTAGCCGTTGGGGAGAGTGGAGACAGAAGTTATGATACCTGCCCTTCAACTAAGAGAATGGGAGCAGCCCCTTGCTGTTGATGTAATGTGAAAGAAAATCAAAATTTGGTAAATTAATAAAGCTTTTTATTTTTTCAACTCTGAAAAATCAGTGGTTTGGCCTTAGACGACACTAAAGATCTGACTTTCACCTCCTAGCCACACTGAGTGATCAGCGTGACTAATCTGAGGGCCTACGCAACAGTATATGCCAGTCCGAGGGGGGAGCCGTAAGCCCAAAGTGGGCGCAGTAAAGGTCGTCAAGTCGGCGCTAGCAGCATTCAGCGGAATGACCTGGGCACCCACAGACTGTGCCGTCGTGTGGACCAGTCAGAAGCTGGTACGAGCATTGCCAATTGGGGGGGGCACGCGACGCCCAACTGTAAGACCCGCCACTGTAGCCACCGCTCCCCAGGCCAGCCTGGCCCAACTGACAGTTGGGAACCCACTGCCGGAACTACTGCTATGAATGCGGAGTCACCGCCGGACCCAAAGAACCAGCACCTCATGCTGCAGCACACCCAGGACCAGCAATCTCAGCGTCAGCACCCTCTGACCTACCAACACCGCCACCTCCTTGCCGACTAAGGCAACTTTTGCGCCGTCCGCGCCCACCACTAGGGGCTGTGACGGATGCGGCCTCCGTTGTAGCAGTAGCCCCAGTAGCAGCAGCAGAGGCAGCAGAGGCAGGGAGTTGGGGCGGTGCGCACCCCTCAAAAGATAGAGGGGGACTACCATACCAGTGGTGGCGGCAATGGTGTGGAGGTGGGTCTCGATCTGAGTGAGACTAGTCTCAAAGAGATTGATAGTGCGGTTGGCGGGTAGCAGCCGTAGGCACGGCAGAGGTCACGCTGCAGGTGCGGCAGTAGGCACACGGCAGCAGGTGCGCGGCAGACGCTGCGAGGGTGCGCGGCTGGGCGTGGCAGGGCATGCGGAAGCGTGGCAGCAGGGCGCGGCAGGGCATGCGGTAGGGCGCAAAGCAGGGCGCAGCAGGCACATGGCAGGGTGCACGGGCGCACGGCAAGGCGCAAGTGCGGCAAGAGGGGCGCTACAGGTGCGGGCGTGGGCGCAAGTGCGAGCGGTAGTAGGCGCAGGCGCGGCCGGGCGGGCGCAGTAGCGTTAGCGTGGGCGCGGCGTGCGCGGTTGCGGTAGGCGCAAGCGCAACAGGCAGTGGCGCGGCGGCGGCAGACGCAAGGAGCGCAGGCGGCAGGCGCACGGCAAGGCGCAAGTGTGGCAGGCGCGGGCGGCGGCAGCGCGGGTGCAGCTGGTGCGGCGGCAGCAGGTGCGAGTATTACAGGTGCCTGAGCAGGCGCGGGCAGCAGTGGGCGCGAAACGCGGCAGCTGTAGTGGGCGCGATAGGCGCGGCAGGTGCAAGCGCGGCGACGGAATGCGCAGGGAGCGTGGGAGGCAGGCGTGGGCGCGAGCGCGGGCGACGGCAGGTGCAGGTCAGGCCCCAAAATGTCAGGGTAAAATACCCTGATTGCCCTGACTGGCGGCCGCTTTTTTTGGGGTTACCCTGACCCAGTCAGCCTCCTGGATGTCTTACCCTGACTCATAAAGAGTTTGAATTTTTGTACCCTTATGAAATCCGAGTTATAGATTGTTTCCCTTGACTTTCATCAGTGTTTTGAACCTGTTACACTGATACCGAGTCTTTCGTAGCGAGGATACGGTGGATGTTGCGCTAAACGGCGCCAGCGAGTATTGCACTACGTTCATTACCCTATATGAGCGTCGAACCCGCGACCTTCCCGATCGCAGCATCACCTCTAACCCTGTGAGACACTTCAACTGGTTCGTTACTACATATACCATTTTTAACGTAATCAGCTTAACTTTTTTCTTACCCTGTTTCCATCAGGGTATGAGATTTTTTACCCTAGGAGTCAGGGTTGGCCCACCCTGAAACTCTGATTTGACAGGGTGGGCCAAAACCAATTTTGGGCCCTGGTGCAGGTGTGGGTGTAGCAGGTGTGGGTGTAGCAGGTGTGGCAGTTGGCGTGGCAGGTGTGCGACAGGAGGCAGCAGGGCGAGGCAGGACGAGCCAGTGCACGCGACAGGGCGCGCTAGGATGCGCGGCAGGCGCGTGGCGGGGCGCGACGTGGTCTTGACGGGGTCCACGTCGGGTGGGGCATTAGAGGGGTGCGACAGGAGGGGCTAAGGGGCGCGCTAGCGGGGGCCGGTCGGTAGGCGGGGCGGAAGCGAGAGTACTAAACTAGCATGATACCATGTTGAGGGAAAGAATGACTTGCAAGAGAAGAGAAAATACAAGGAGGGGTGGGTGGAATGGAAGGGAAATGTTATTCCTTACTGAAAGCACACAACACTGCATACAACTCGAACTTATCACACACCATGTAATTTATAAATTTGAACGAATAAATTTAATAAATAAAAACCATACACAAACAAATCGGGGAAGTGATGCAAGTACTAATACTGTGTAGGTAAAGTTACAGAACCATTTAGTGTTGAGAGCACCTGCAGCAGCACTCTCTCATTGAGTGGCTTCTGCACGGCTCCATCCATGCCAGCCTCTGTGGCACGGGCGGCAACGGCACAGTCCACATCCGCTGACATGGCCACCACATGAACGCGCTGCTGTTGGGAGGTGTGGGCTTGGCCCTCGAAGGCGCGCAGGCGGGCGGTGGTGTGGAAGCCGTCGAGGGCGGGCATGTGGAGGTCCATGAGCACGAGGCGGAAGGAGTGGCGCGCCTGCAGCAGGCGCAGCGCCGCCTTGCCCGACTCTGCCAGCGCCACCTCCGCCCCGTACCGCGCCAGCGTGCTCGCTGCCACCCGCCGGTTGATCACGTTGTCGTCCACCACCTGGGTGAGTGCAGGGAGTACAGGGGGGTGCAGAGGGGTGAGACAGAGGGACGGTTGATCACGTTGTCGTCCACCACCTGGGTGAGTGCAGGGAGTACAGGGGGGTGCAGAGGGGTGAGACAGAGGGACGGTTGATCACGTTGTCGTCCACCACCTGGGTGAGTGCAGGGAGTACAGGGGGGTGGAGAGGGGTGAGACAGAGGGACGGTTGATCACGTTGTCGTCCACCACCTGGGTGAGTGCAGGGAGTACAGGGGGGTGGAGAGGGGTGAGACAGAGGGACGGTTGATCACGTTGTCGTCCACCACCTGGGTGAGTGCAGGGAGTACAGGGGGGTTGAGAGGGGTGAGAACGGTTTGATCAGGTTGTCGTCCACCACGTGGCGGGGGGGTATGAAGGGGATGAGAATGGAGGTACGGCGGGTACAGCGGGTATAGAAGGGGTGCAGAGGGGATGAGAACGGTTGATCACGTTGTCGTCCACCACCTGGGTGAGGGAGGGGCATGCAGGCGGGGTGCAGAGACAATTGATGGCATTGTCATTTTCCACTTGGCCAGCACGGCAGGTACATCCGATAGAGGACGATTGAGAGCGAGTTTGAAAGAGAAGAGGATATGACGTTGTTGTCACGTGGACTGCCCTTGCTCACCAGGATGGCCATGCCCTTACCAGGATGGCCATGCCCTTACCAGGATGGCCATGCCCTCACCAGGATCGCCATGCCCTGAAGCATCTCCTTGAGAGCGTCCTTGGCGCTCACCACCTTCTCACCCGCCCCCTCCACCGCGCTTGTGCCCTCCGCCTCTCCCCATCCCTGCCCTCCCTCGCTCGCACTGAAGCTTCTGTTGCCCACTCTGGTAATGGGACTGGGACTGGCAACGGCCCTCCAGCCAGCACCATAACCAGCGCAGGGAGCGAAACTGGCAGCAGGGGAATGAGCAGCAGCAGCAGCGGCGGCAGAAGCAGGAGGAGCCGGAACATCAAAGGGCAGAGCGACGTGCAGAGTGGTGCCGACGCCCTCTGTGCTGACTAGACCCATGCTGCCGCCTAAGAGGGACACCTGCGACACGTTGGCACGTGGGAGGCGTTGACAGAAGCAGACAATGTGTGCCGTGCACAAGGGACGCAATGAGATGCGCAGTAACAAACAATAATTTACAGAAGAGGATAGTAAGCAAGTGCTGAGATGAAGGCTAGCAATGAGATAACAGCAGCCAAGGGGAAGAAGTCAAGCAACTACGATGAGGTACATGGAAAGACACAAGGCACACATTCGCTTCTTCCACACAAGGAACACCGGTTGTGACACAAGACGCACCAGCTGGCGCGATAAGTGAAGGCTCATGCCGCTGCCGCCATGCGCGTGTCTCTTCTGGTGTGCCTGTTGGGGTAAGGTGTATTCAAACGGGGTGTATTACAAACGGGGTGTATTACAAACGGGGTGTATTACAACGGGGTGTGATAAAACAAGAGCATATGATGGATCGGTGAAGGTGCAACTGTGGGTGGTGCATTCGTGCAGGCTAAAGTTTCACAATCCTGATCCATTACTTCTTTCCCACGCATCAGTGTAGAGTGCACATTCAGCTGATACCCGAGTAAAACAGCTTGATTTAGAGGTGCATCAAACATAGACTGCACTGTTTGTGTTGGCCCACCTAATTTCGGTAGGGTGGTTCAAGCCACAAACAGCACATGCGGTGGCGGTGGCAGCCAGCTTCAGTGTGCTGCCCAACACATCAACACTGGCAACCAACTTGGCCCACTTGGCAAGTTGGCAAAACCAAACTCTGATTCGGTGGCCTGTGACGAACCGGACTGGCTTGAGCAGCATTGGGCCATTTGCAACGAAGTGGACCACTTGTAAGAGCTCACCTGCATGAACGCCTTGGTGCCCCAACACACATTCTAAGAGCTCACCTGCATGAACGCCTTGGTGCCCCAACACACATTCTAAGAGCTCACCTGCCTGAACGCCTTGGTGCCCCAACACACATTCTAAGAGCTCACCTGCATGAACGCCTTGGTGCCCCAACACACATTCTAAGAGCTCACCTGCATGAACGCCTTGGTGCCCCAACACACATTCTAAGAGCTCACCTGCATGAACGCCTTGGTGCCCCAACACACATTCTAAGAGCTCACCTGCATGAACGCCTTGGTGCCCCAACACACATTCTAAGAGCTCGCCTGCATGAACGCCTTGGTGCCCCAACACACATTCTAAAAGCTCACCTGCATGAACGCCTTGGTGCCCCAACACACATTCTAAGAGCTCACCTGCATGAACGCCTTGGTGCCCCAACACACACTCTAAGAGCTCACCTGCATGAACGCCTTGGTGCCCCAACACACATTCTAAGAGCTCACCTGCATGAACGCCTTGGTGCCCCAACACACATTCTAAGAGCTCACCTGCATGAACGCCTTGGTGCCCCAACACACATTCTAAGAGCTCACCTGCATGAACGCCTTGGTGCCCCAACACACATTCTAAGAGCTCACCTGCATGAACGCCTTGGTGCCCCAACACACATTCTAAGAGCTCACCTGCATGAACGCCTTGGTGCCCCAACACACATTCTAAGAGCTCACCTGCATGAACGCCTTGGTGCCCCAACACACATTCTAAGAGCTCACCTGCATGAACGCCTTGGTGCCCCAACACACATTCTAAGAGCTCACCTGCATGAACGCCTTGGTGCCCCAACACACATTCTAAGAGCTCACCTGCATGAACGCCTTGGTGTCCCAACACACATTCACCTGCATGAGGGGCAGGGCTCACCTGCATGACGGGCAGGGCTCACCTGCATGAGGGGCAGGGCTCACCTGCATGAGGGGCAGGGCTCACCTGCATGAGGGGCAGGGCTCACCTGCATGAGGGGCAGGGCTCACCTGCATGAGGGGCAGGGCTCACCTGCATGAGGGGCAGGGCTCACCTGCATGAGGGGCAGGGCTCACCTGCATGAGGGGCAGGGCTCACCTGCATGAGGGGCAGGGCTCACCTGCATGAGGGGCAGGGCTCACCTGCATGAGGGGCAGGGCTCACCTGCATGAGGGGCAGGGCTCACCTGCATGAGGGGCAGGGCTCACTCACCTGCATGAACGCCTGAAACACGTCGCGCTGCTCCTCCTCTGCGATGCCACACCCCGTGTCCTCACATGTCAGCAGCACCACACACCGCCTGCCACCTCCCCCCTCCGCCTCCGTGCCCTCCTCTCTGCCCCGTCCACGCCACCACCTCTCTACTGTTTCGCTCCACCAGCCCACACCACCGCCTGCCCCTAATGCTGCTGCTCTTGCTACCCTGCCTACCTCATATGTGCCAGCACCACCCCCCTCACGCACACCGGCACCTCGCATGGCTCTACCACCAGGGCCACCCCCTTGCTCCTCTTCGCAGTGCCTCAGAGAAGCCACCTCTCCTCTCCTTGCTCCTCTCCCCTCTCCTCTCCCCTCTCCTCCTCTCCAAAAAGCGCCACGTTCACCTGCCTTCTCCCCTTCGCCACCCTCCTCCCGCCCTTGCTGCACACATGCACCTGCTGCCGCATCCCTACCACCCACTGACTGCACTGCTGCACCCTCCCATTCACCTCTCCCACGTTCCTCATCCCCCACACCTTCCCTGCGCCCATTCTCTCCATTACTCCAACCTTCCTCCCTTTGCCCCTTCCATTCCCACTCCCCCTCCAGCTTCCCCTCCCTTCCCTCCTCCTCATCACACTCGCACCTCTCGTTGCCCTCCCCTTGCCCCATCGCCCCCAGAGGCGGGTGGGAGGGGCGAGGGAGGAAGCGAGTGCAGAGCGAGGCCAGCTGTGGGGCCCAATCGCCCACCACGCCCCCCAGCACCCCTCGCTGCTCCGCCCCCTGCTGCTCCGCCCCCTGCTGCACCAACCCATGCTGCAACACCTGCTCCCTCCACGCTCTCTCTCCTCGCTCCTGCTCACCGCCAAGCGCAGCAGCAGCAGCAGCAGCAGCAGCAGCAGCAGCCGTGGGGACAGCAGTGGCAGCAGCAGCAGAAGTGGCTTCACCAATATTGGCACCATCATCGGCAGCATCAGCATCAGCATCAGCAGAAAGCGAGGAGCAGCCGGGGGTAGGTTGAGCGAGGAGGCAGCCGAGGGAGAGCAGGTGGGTGGGGATGTGGGTGTCGGGGGGAAGGCACTGCAGCCGCACACACACGCCCCCGCTGCTCGTGAACTTGATGGCATTATCTGCAGCAGGTGCAGTGCATCATGCGTGGAAACAAAACGAGGACAACAATTGAACCAAAGTTGTGAGATGGGAAGGGAAATCGGAGAAAGTGAAACGTCTAATTTCAGTTCATCAAGCAGCAATGCACACATCATCATCCCATTCAGCCCTGCTGGCTCACCAACAATGCTGTCCACCACTTGACTCACCTACGATGCTGTCCAGCACTTGCTGCAGGCGCATGTAGTCCCCCTGCAGCACCTCGGGCACACTCGTATCCACACGGCACGCGACTGGGCACGGGCACATGCACAAACAATTAGTACAGAGGTTACAAAAAGAAACACACAACGCTTGCTTCTGAGATGCGTGATGGATTGCTTTCTAGCACCAGAGGAACGACATGGCTGGAAGGGACCGAAAACGGATGCGAGGAAGATGATTACAATTGAGGTTGCGCGCGTGGGCGGCGCAGGCATGGGAGTGCAGCACATCTTTGAGCCAGGAGCGCGTGTGGAAGGGCAGGTGCTCCATGTGCAGGCGGCCGGCCTCGGCCTTGGAGACGTCGAGCACGACGTTGATGAGCGCCACGATGCGCTCCACCTCGCCCACCGCCGTCCCCACGTCCTCCCTCTGCCGCCCGTCCACCTCCCCCTCCGCCAGCTCCTCCAACATGCCTGTGGGGAGAGAAGGGGCGGGGGGAATGGAGAATTGTGTGAGAGAGGTGTCCCTCCGCCAGCTCCTCCAACATGCCTGTGGGGAGAGAAGGGGCGGGGGGAATGGAGAATTGTGTGAGAGAGGTGTCCCTCCGCCAGCTCCTCCAACATGCCTGTGGGGAGAGAAGGGGCGGGGGGAATGGAGAATTGTGTGAGAGAGGTGTCCCTCCGCCAGCTCCTCCAACATGCCTGTGGGGAGAGAAGGGGCGGGAGGAATGGAGAATTGTGTGAGAGAGGTGTCCCTCCGCCAGCTCCTCCAACATGCCTGTGGGGAGAGAAGGGGCGGGGGGAATGGGAAATTGTGTGAGAGAGGTGTCCCTCCGCCAGCTCCTCCAACATGCCTGTGGGGAGAGAAGGGGCGGGGGGAATGGAGAATTGTGTGAGAGAGGTGTCCCTCCGCCAGCTCCTCCAACATGCCTGTGGGGAGAGAAGGGGGGGGGAGGGCACAATGCTCCATCCATTGCTTTGCATGTGCCGCGCGTGCAGTGCCGGCAATCCAGTGAGAGGGGTGCCAACATAACAGAACATAATTGTGCAGTCATCAACAACATGAGTCACACGCCTCATAACGATGATCACTCACAGTGTGTGTACAGTGTGTCTACAGTGTGTCTACAGTGTGTCTACAGTGTGTGTACAGTGTGTGTACAGTGTGTGTACATTGTGTGCACAGTGTGTGTACAGTGTGTGTACAGTGTGTGTGTGTGTGTGTGTTGTACAGTGTGTACAGTGTGTGTGCGTGCACAACAACCAATACTCCTTGCATGGTTGGAAATGGCTCAGAAAGTGCTCTTTGCAGGTGCTCTGGGTCATACTCTGTGCCCTTTCAGAAACCACTCGCCCCATCCCCCCCACTCGCCCCATCCCCCCCACTCGCCCCATCCCCCCCACTCGGCCCATTCCCGTCCACGCACTCTTCCCGCCCCATTTCGCCCCCACGCACCCTTGAGGCCGATGATTGGGGTGCGCAGCTCATGCGCAGTGTTGGTGATGACCTTTAGACAATGACTCATTGCACAGCAACTGCCAGACCTTGCATGGTTTGAAATGGCTTAGGAGGGTTGTGCCAAGTGCTGACATCAGCAACACATACTTCGCCCTCTGCCCTTTCAGAAACCACTTCCACGACTCGGCCCATTCATGCCAACGCACCCTTGAGGCCGATGATGGGGGTGCGCAGCTCATGCGCAGTGTTGGCGATGAAGGCACTCTTGTTGCGCTCCGCCGCCTGCGTTCTCTCCTTCAGCACCTCCACTGCTGCCACTTTCTCCCGCACGCCCCGCGTGTTGCATGCCACAGTCACTCCAATAGCGGCCAGCAGCGCCGCCACCACCATGATCACCACTGCCAGCAGCACGGCCGTCCAGCTGTGGACCGTGTCGGTGTCGCCAAAGCTGCAGGCAGAGGAGTCGTGAGGCGTGGGGGTCAGCATGAGGCGTGGGGGTCAGCATGAGGCGTGGGGGTCAGCATGAGGCGTGGGGGTCAGCATGAGGCGTGGGGGTCAGCATGAGGCGTGGGGGTCAGCATGAGGCGTGGGGGTCAGCATGAGGCGTGGGGGTCAGCATGAGGCGTGGGGGTCAGCATGAGGCGTGGGGGTCAGCATGACGCGTGGGGGTCAGCATGTGGCGTGGGGGTCAGCATGAGGCGTGGGGGTCAGCATGAGATCAGCCTTAATTAAGCCACAGAAATGGAAGGTTGTGAGTTGGAGGAGGAGCAATTCGTGTGAAAGGGGAGCAACCTGATGTAAGGAACAGCACACACGGGACCAACACATGCCTTGGAGGAGGCAACTCACCGGCACCAGAGCTGGTAGGTGTGTGATGAGTCTGTGAGGTTGATTTGCTGCACAGCCTTGTAGCGCTGAGGTTGCAGCATGGTTTCGTTGGAGGGCGGAATGAGCTTGGCCACTTGCAAGGGGTTGCCTTGAGGCAAGGCACCCACCCCGTACAGCAGACGAGCACCACTGGAGTAGGAAGAGGAGGAGGAGGAGAGGGACGGGGGAGGAGGAGGAGGAGGAGGAGGAGGAGGAGGAGGAGGAGGAGGAGGAGGAGGAGGAGGAGGAGGAGGAGGAGGAGGAGGAGGAGGAGGTGGTGGAGGAGGAGGAGGAGGAGGAGGAGGAGGAGGAGGAGGAGGAGGAGGAGGAGGAGGAGGAGGAGGAGGAGGAGGAGGAGGAGGGGGGGGGGGGAGAGGAGAAGGCGAGGCGATCACTGGAGGTGACATCGTAGACCTCGAGGGAATACTGCACATCTGGAAAAGGAAGAGAGTGAGGAAAACGTTTTTTTTACCTCATTTTTTTTCCCGCACGGAAATATATTCGTTCATGTGAACAGTGCTTCCTTGGAGTGAGCACGTGCAGCGAAGGGAGCAACAGCACATTCAAATTAGTAGCAGCACAGCACAGCACAGCACAGCACAGCACAGCACAGCACAGCACAGCACAGCACAGCACAGCACAGCACAGCACCGCACACACAGCACTGCACCTTCCATTCTAGTTAAAATATTCTATTCTCTTAAGCAGCACGTTACCTTGGCGGAGCACTTCATTGATGATGAAAGCGGCGAGGCTCTTGAAGTCGATGGACGCCGCTATCAGCCCCACCAGCGCCGCCCGCCTCTCCTCCAGCGGCGAGGAGGTCGTGACTCCGTCTTTAAAGATTGGAAAACCCATGCCTGGCCGCACATTGAAGGGGAAAACGGGGGGGGGAAAAGGGGGAAGGGAGGGGGGCACGGACGTAATGGGAGCACAGGAGGGAGTGAGGGAGGGAGTGATAGAGAAGGAACTAACCAGAGGGCAGAGAATGGGTGTGTGTGTGTGCGTGTGCGTGCGTATGCCGACCCTGAAGATTGGAGACCCCATGCCTGGCTGCACATTGAGGGGGAGTGAAGGGCGGGGGAGGGGGTACGGTACGGATGTAGAGGATGAGTGAGAGATCGAGAGGGGTGGTAAATGCGAAATGGAGAATGGGAAGGAAAGAACGTTGCGACCGGGGGAGGGAAAAGGAGCAACAGCACTTCCACTCACCCATTCCACTCACACATTCACACATGCCCTCCCACCCACCCATCCATCGACGCTCTTCACACTCTCCCACGCCCCTCACACTCACCCACGCCCCTCACACTCACCCACGCCCATCACAATCACTCACGCCCCTCCCACTCACCCACCCACACCACTCACACTCACCCATGCCAGCCTCCCCGTTGTCGAGCACGTAGGGCATGCTAAGCAGGTTGGCTGCCAGCTCGTGCATGTGGGAGAGCTGGGGGCCGTACGAGGGGTGCGTGCGCACGTTGATGCACACGGACGCCCCTTCCAGCATCGGCAGCAGCGGGTTCTCCTGGAACCACACGCGCGAGTTCATGTACCAATCCGCCTCCGGGGCCGGCTTGCCCAGAATGTCCAACAGCTTGCACTGCGCCTTCTGCTCAAAGGCCGCCCTGCAGGGGGGGAGAGGGGGGAAACGAGGACGAGGAGATGAGGCGGAGAAGAGCGAGGACGACGGGTGGATGTCATAAGGTTGGGCAAGGCAAGGGTATGAGCATGCCATCAGAGTCACACGAGCACACGTTGTGTTGTGGTGACATGTGCACGAGAGAGAGAATGTCAGAATGCATGCAAACACGGGAAAGCGCCAAAAGATGAAGGTTCAAAACACGATTAGTCCACTCCAGAAGATTCAAACAAGAAGTTTGCAAAAGCTGGGCAGGGAGTAGGAAAACACAACACAACACCACTCCGTCTGCCGACCTTGCATGTGATGTGAGCCAGAGAGTCATGGAGAGGCGGAGGGAGGGAGGGAGGAGGGGTGAAGGGATAAGACGGCAGGGAGAGGGGAGGCAGGGGACCTATCGGAGCCGTTGATGATGGCCATGTGGGCGACGGCGTGGAGGGGAGGGGGAAGGGGGAAGGGGGAAGGGACCTGTCAGAGCCGTTGATGACGGCCATGTACCCCACGGCGTGCACCCATGGCTGTGCCGCCACTGTGCGCTCCACCAGGTGCACGAAGCGCCGCTGCGTGAGGCAGCTGCCCACCGCCCAGGGGTTCTGCCGCACGCCGCCAAACACTGTTGCCAGCCCCGCCAGCACCTGATGGATGTATGGGCGGCACATGGGGGCGTATGGGCGGCGCATGGGGGGCGCATGGGCGGCGCATGGGCGGCACATGGGGGGGGGCATGGGAGGGCAGGGCATGACGAGTGGGCACGTCCAGCGTGAACCGTGTGACGGAGCTTCTTGGTGCACTGACTGAGGAGGCTTTACACGGCTCACACAGCACACGGCTCACACAGCACACGGCTCACACAGCACACGGCTCACACAGCACGTGACTCACACAGCACGTGGCTCACACAGCACGTGGCTCACACAGCACGTGGCTCACACAGCACGTGACTCACACAGCACACGGTTCACACAGCACGTGGCTCACAGCACGTGGCTCACACAGCACGCGGCTCACACAGCACGTGGCTCACACAGCACGCGGCTCACACAGCACGTGGCTCACACAGCACGCGGCTCACACAGCACGTGGCTCACACAGCACACGGCTCACACAGCACACGGCTCACACAGCACACGGCTCACACAGCACACGGCTCACACAGCACACGGCTCACACAGCACACGGCTCACACAGCACGTGGCTCACACAGCACACGGTTCACACAGCACGTGACTCACACAGCACGTGGCTCACACAGCACGTGGCTCACACAGCACGTGGCTCACACAGCACGTGACTCACACAGCACACGGTTCACACAGCACGTGGCTCACAGCACGTGGCTCACACAGCACGCGGCTCACACAGCACGTGGCTCACACAGCACGCGGCTCACACAGCACGTGGCTCACACAGCACGCGGCTCACACAGCACGTGGCTCACACAGCACACGGCTGGCGATGAGTGCTCCAGTGGCCCACGTGAGCATACACAGTTACGCCCGTATTCCCTCCCCCACCCATCTGACCCTTGCCGCCAACGATCGTGCGCGTTGGTCTCAACACCAGCCCGTGCGACGACCCCTAGATCCTGCAGACTCTTCGTTCGCATGCTATCACCCTCAACATCACGTGTCAGCTTGGACCCGCTTGTTGAGTCAGCCCCTTTAGCGGCCGTGCACCTTGCCACGCGCAGCTATCATCATTGCCCGGCTGTATTCATGCGCGCACGGGACTCGTTGAATCGTTCCTCACAAGATTCGATTCTACACCGCGCCCGCCGCATGCGTCGACCTGGACGGCCACGGCGACTCCATACCTAAGGCATACCGAGACAAATGTAGCTATGGAGATTATAAGAAATGCATAGTATATGCTGCTGATGCCTTTAGAAACCGGATCTTGGTTGACAAGGACTGGATCGGCTTATTTTTACCCTAGACACGCCGACGCTTTCCCGTTTCGCAAGTATCCGTGCTAGAAATTCTGCACATTGGCGAAGCATCGCATTCGCGTAGTACCTACGTGATCAGCCGTCTACCTGCACGTGGGCTGCCGTGTACCTGCACGTGGTCGGCCGTGTACCTGCACGTGGTCGGCCGTGTACCTGCACGTGGTCGGCGGTGAGCATGAACTGCTGCTGCAGCGAGCGCGCGCGACCGGCGCACCAGGTGTCGAGCTCCGCCTTGCGATTGTCGTCGAAGCCCTTCTGCACCCTCCACGCCACCAGCCCCGCCAGCACGCCCGCAAGCCCCATCCACACCGCCACCGCTGCCGCCATTCGCGCCAGGGCCAACCCCCGACTCGACATCGCCGTGGGGAAGGTTCCTGGCGTTTCAGCGCCCTACACTACTACCTCGTCCTGTCTTGCTACGTCCTCAAGCGCCCTTTGAGGCGTCCACCAGGGAGGCCGTGAGAACTATGTCACCTGCCAGGAGTCCAAATTTTAAACCTAAACTCTACTCCGCCGTCTCGATTTGCAATCAAATTGCTCTAGATCGCAAACCACCGACACGCCGCCCTGAGTTTTGGACAGGAGTCACGAAGGAGGCTAGACCTAGTGACTGATACCTTTGGCCGCGAATTAGTTCTGCATTATAGTCTACCACCAAAGGGAAGATCCTATTATTAATTACTTCGTACGCAGCCGCCAATCCATGCGGTATCATTCACGGGCTAGTGAATCCCATGCGCCATAATGTGCATGGTATCTCGTGCTGGAAATTGTGCGGTAAGGGCGGCACCGATGCATACTTCGTAAGGATGTGTCACAGCTCATGCATAGTTCAGGCTGGTACTAGCGGTTGAAAGCGGTGATGCGTACAAACCGCTCTAAAGCTCACAAGATCGTTGCCAACCGCTTAAATTAAACGAGGCGGTTCTTATTTGAAGTTACGGAATCGGCCAAGAGAGGGTGTGTTTTGGGCAAATGGGCTGAGCAGCACATGGAGGGTGTACCTACGACTGGAACAAACCAACACCCAACACATCCCTTCCCCACCCATGCGGAGGGGCCGACGCAGGGTGGATCCGACCAGGGTTGTGTTGTGTACACCCTCTTATTCGTTTGATGCACCCGCGATTATGCCACCTGCTCGGTACGTTCACATAGAAGGTTGGGAGCGATGCGTTTATGACACATAGAATCGAATCACACGCGTGGTCAGTTCAGCATTGAATTGCTAAATGTTGAAGAAAATTGGTGGAATAACGCTACAGTTACACGCATTCGCGCTAAAGACGAGGCCAAATGTTTAGGTATGATTAGGTCAGGCCGGCCTACAGTTGCAAAAACGTATTTACAGCCACATTTTGGGAGCAAGGGACGGCAATAAGCAGGGAAATGTGCCTCTTAGACGTTAAAAGCACCTGGCAAAAATGACAAGCACCTCCAACCGAAACGCGCTTGGTGGGATAAACGAATAACTGGTGTGCATTGACGGCATTTGCCCTGAGAATCCGGGGCGGGGTCTGAGCATCTCCCCACTCATGACATGTACAGTACGGGCTGCTATGGGCTGAACGACTTTCCCTGATTTTCCTTGAGCAGAAGCCCCCACCTCCCCCATCCTCTCCCTTCATGCCCACTCATCTCCCCTACCCACCTTCCCCACCCCACCCACCTCCCGCCACTCTCCCTACTTCCACCCGGCAGTGGAAGTTCTGGACCTAAAACATGTGTATACCCTGGACTGTTCATGATATCACAACTTGTTACTGTGTATGAACTTCTGCTTCAAAGTCTGATTCCGTATTTGTCGCAGAGATCATGATGAGCATTTTTCCATCGTTTGTTGTTCGCACATGCCAGAAGAACGGACACAGATCTTGCTAGGCTGTGCCAGGCTGGCCAATCGATCCTCCAAGCAAGATGCGATATACGACGGGGTCACGCCACGCACCCAACAGTGATATTACAAGCCAAGGGGCAAAAGCTCTAGGAGGTAGGTGGGGACCACGGGCGAGGGCACAGGATTTTGGGGCATTTCGCCCTGACTGCCCTGCTTTTAAGAGATACTTTTCGTCACCACGTTGCAAATACGACATCTTGCTAGGCTGTGCCAGGCTGGCCAATCGATCCTCCAAGCAAGATGCGATACACGACGGGGTCACGCCACGCACCCAACAGTGAGATTACAAGCCAAGGGGCAAAAGCTCTAGGAGGTAGGTAGGGACCACAAGCGAGGGCTCAGGATTTTGGGGCATTTCGCCCTGACTGCCCTGCTTTTTAGAGATACATTTCGTCACCACGTTGCAAATACGACATTGACGGATGAGCCACCCTGTCATGTCAGCCTTTGACATTGCTGTCTTTGCTGTCGACTTGTCATGCGGGACACTGCCTTGTCCAAGCTCGATAACAAGAACCCATCAGAACCTTTTAGCCCCTTCAAAGAAACAAGGGTTTGATGTATTTGCTATTAAATCGCCAATTCGCTGAAATCTTTCGAAATCGACGAAGGGTAAACAGCTGCGGGTGTTTTTTCATCCACCAGAAAAAAAAAATCAACAGGGGCGGCATCAGGAAACGAGCGGATCAGAGGAGTGGCTCAAAATACTCGAAATGGGTAATGTAGCCAATCGAAGAACTGCCACCCATTCCTACAAAGCCTCCAGGCCATTTTCCTACCTTTACCCAGCACAACGAGAAGTAGCTGAGTTTAGCCTCCCCCGCCTTTTCATGTTCAACCTTTGTAAACCCCCACCCACCCCCACCCCTCCCCTCCCCCCCACCCCCCCCCCCCCCACCCCCTTTAACGCTCTTACCGTCTAGATGTGTCAAGGTTCAATTCGAGAATAAAAATCGGGTAAGTAGCTTTCGCAGGGGTACTACTAGCGACCCTGCGCTTTCAAGGGGACTACAGTGCTAGTTGCGGGCACTTTCCGCCCCTCCGCCACTCCCACAGGAAAATTATGGCAACAACACAGAACTCGGTCCCGCATTCACCCACGTGTCACAAATTTAGAAAGTTAGAAAACGCAGGGCAAAAAAACATAAAACCCATAGGGAACCTGGACTCATTTTCGGGAGGGATCAACCCTGAACACGGGAACCTACATTTTTTTAAGGGTTGATGCCTCCCCGAGACGTATCCCTTCCCGATTGGGATTTAGTTTTTTCCGGTCAGGGCCGCGAGGCCGAGGCGGGACGCGGCGGCGCGGTTTCCAGCTGCTTGCGAATTTTGTGCCACGTGGGTGAATGTGGGACCGAGTTCTGTGTTGTTGCCATAATGTTCCTGTCGGAGTGGCGGAGTGGCGGAAAGTGCCCACATATAGCACTGTAGTCCCCTTGAAAGCGCAGGGTCGCTAGTAGTACCCCTGCGAAAGCTACTTACCCATAAAAATCAGTTCTCGCTAAATTCGACACTGCCAGTTCCGTCGATGGAAAATCTTATCTTTGCTGCGTCTGCCACACTGCAATAGCAGGGTGAACTCGTTCACAACTCGAATCATCAGGGTGCTATAAAACACCCTGCCACAAACGAATCCGATCGACGGTCAGTTTTGGGACAGGACGACCAACGCAGAATACACTCGCCTGGTTACCCGGCGTCGCGGCGATTGGGTCGCGGCTCCCCGCTACCATTGTTCCACACCGAATTCGCTATTTCGTTAAAGCCCAAGACCCGAATTACAAAAAACGAGGGCAAACTGTGCACAGTTTGCCTCCCGCAGCCCACACATTTGCCCCGCGTTGACTTGCGTTGAACAATCCAGGTCTTGGGCTTTAATCCGCCTCATCGAGCCTTTGCGAGAAAGTGTGGGCATGTTCGCATTTTGCTATCAACTCGATTATTGCTACAACCCATAACAGAAAGTGTGGGCATGTTCGCATTTTGCTATCAACTCGATTATTGCTACACCCCCTAACCCCTAATCAGTGATCGCGTTAAGAACCCGACAAATTCACCAGCATAATTACTTACGCTTACCCTTTGGACCGCGGCGAGCGTCATGTGCACTGTCTCGAGTGGCTGGAGTCCTTGATCACGTTATTCAAGACTGACCTGAACGACGACATCCTGCTAGGTAAGTAAACTCTTGTAAACGATCGCAGCATGCAATTATTTTATTGTTTGCATTGTCGTATACTGTTAAACCCCCTATATCTTACTCCGTGGTCCTTCTGTCTCCTACGTATACACCCCCCCATCCAGGGATCAACAAGCGTCGCGCTGTGGAGCTGAGGTTGTTCACATCGGTGCTTTCGTCCGCCCACAAGACAGAGCGGAGTTTCAACGCTGGACTCACAGCAATCCTGAAAACACCAGACTGGCGGGAGAACTTCCCCGACCTGGTGCAGATGTGGGTGGCCGTTGATGTTCTGTTGCTCAGCACTGAGTGCGAGCGGGGTTTCTCAAGGCAGAACACCATTAAGTCTTGGCAGCGGGGCTCACTGAAGGATGCAAGGTTGGGCGACCTCATGTGCATGAACTTTATGAGCTACGACCCTAACTGGGATGAGATTGTCGAGATCTGGAGGAGCTACAAGAAGCGCAAGCCACGCAACGCCCCTATCACTGCAGGAAGTCAGAACAGGAAGGGAAAGGAGTAGGCAGATGTTGAAATATAGATCTAGATGTTGTAGCTGATGCTAGCGGTAATGATAGCGATGAGGCAGCTTGAGTGGTAGTAGTAGATCAAATGTAGATGCTGGTTGATGAATCTGATGCTTAGGTAGATAGATAGGTTCAGGGCTCACGATTCATATATAGCTACCCTAATTTCAACCCCCCCCCCCCCCCCCAGAAAAAAAAAAAAAAAAAAAAAAAAAAATGACGGCACATTGGCCGCAAAACGCCAAGTATGAGCCTTCTTGCGATGTTCAGTGCTGGCGAATTGAAACCAGGGTTGCTTTTTTTTCTTCTTTCCAGCTGACGAGAAAAACCGTGATGCGGGTGGTTGAAACTGTTTGACGCGAGAAATTTGGCTGGATTGGGCTGAGTGCATGTGGCGTGCGAGGTGAATCTCCTAGGGGCGTTGCGGATACAAACTTTATTACGGGAGCTAGATTACGGGGGAAGGCACGTTGTTTGAGTGATCATAGCGTTTGATTGTGTTCTCTCTACGCACACATTCACGGGGACAATTGGCAAGAGTTTCACTAGCAAAGGTTCACAACAATGGTAGCAACAAAGTTGGCAAAGCTGACTACATCAGAAACAAGTATGCCTAGCATGCAAGCAGGTCGACTTCCAGCGCAGCAAGGTCGGCCGCGTTCCAGCGCTGCAAAGTCCGCACCACTCCAGCGCTGCAGAAAGGCGGCTTGCCAACGTTGCAATCGACGGCGTGCCAACGCTGCAGCAAGGC